CCATCATTCACTATGGTAAGATTTTTTGTTCTGATGATGCCTTATACCTGATCCCTTCGACACCTTGTGGTTGCATAGGCTGGTGTGCTTCGTCCATGGAGACACCCATTTCTGAGAAGGACATCATGTTTGGTAAAGTGGAGGGGCAGTGAAAGAGAGAAAGCCCCTCAACAAGATGAGTGGACCCCGTGGCTGCAACAATGGGCTCCAGTGTAGAAACAATTGTCAGGATGGTGCAGGATAGGACAGTGTTTCATTCTGTTGTGTGTAGGGTTGCCATGGGTCAGAACCATTGATTATACTCTTCATGTTGTTAATTATCAATATCCATTATTGATATCAATAACCCTTATTGATACCCTTTTCCAATTATTCCCTCACCATTAACATAAACTCAATGCCCCATAAGCAAAAACTCTTCTCCCTTCACCGTGGAAACAATTAGTCGAGTTTGGTTTCTTTTTTAAAATAGTATTCTTGATATAATATTCTCATATCATACACTCCCATAGTTAAATACTTTAAAAAAGATTTATATATACATCATCACACTCATTTCTAATTCTCCCTCCCAGCTACTCATTCATTATTTGCTTCCCAAATCCCCTCACCCTTCCCGGCCCTACCCCCACCTCCACCCCTTGCCCCACCACCCATGTCCCCTATAAACCTCTGTATCAGTTATTGTCTCTGTGCATCCACTCCTTCTGTGGTTCACAAACTGTGAAACCCAACAGAAGCAATAAAAAACAAATACAAAACAGCAAGAAGGAAATAATAATGATGATGATATAAAGAAAAGAATAGTAAGAAAGAAAAGACCGTTAAGCAGTATTTTAAAAGCCAGAGAAGAAATTTCTGTAGTGGAATAAGTGAGAAATACTGGAGTCTAGAGCAAATTCAGGTTGAGTCAAGAGGAAGGTCAAGTGATGGTTCGATCCACCGTAATCAAATTTACACTAATCTTGCCTGACAGTAAAGCTGTCCAAGGCTTCACCTGAATCGTCTGCAGATGGATTTTGGGCTCCCACTGTGTTCCACCGCCTTCTGCAAACTGGGTGTCCACAATGTAAGCTCTCATCCCTTCCCTTCACCTCATTTGGATTTTGTTATTGTCATCTTTGGATCCCACAGGCTGGTGTGCTTCTTCCATGTGGACTTAGTTAACACCTCATTTAGATGACTGCTTGTTTGAATACAAACCTTTAGGACCCCAGATACTATTCCAATCGATAGCTGGGCACCATCTGCTTTCTTCACCTCGTCATCAGTGATCACCTCATGCACGCAAGTTTCAAGCAGGACTGAATATGTTTATTTCATCTTCCACTTTAAAAGATGTTTCCACTGAGTATGAAAGTCTAGGTAAATAGGTTTCTTTTGGCCTCTTAACTGTTTCATTCCATAGTTTTGACTTCCTTTTGCTTTTTTCTATTGAAAAGTTAGACTGAAGTCTTATTATTGCTTCTATATCACTTTTTTCTCTAGCAATTATGGTCCTGAGGGAGAAAATAGTCATGGAAGAAATCAGAGACGAAGCACTGCCTTATTGTATTTGAGATTATTTGCCCCCTTTATTCTGCTTCTCTTGTTATTTATACTTTTGTTACTAAGAAAAGTTTTATGCTGCAGAAAAGCACTTCAGAGAAAACGCCTAGTATCTATAGATCTGTGACCATCAACACTTCCAAGGAGATGATGTGCTTCAGTGACTTCCCCGTACCAGATCACTTTCCCAACTACATGCATAACTCCAGGCTCATGGACTACTTCAGGATGTTTGTCAAGCACTTTGACCTACTGAAATACATTAATTTTAAGGTAAAGTATAAATGAAATATTGACTATATATATACAAATATATCAATGAAATATTGCATAGTAAGTTTGTGTAGCATTCCACATGAATGCTACATGTGGAATCTTCAGGTTTCAAAGAAAGAGATAATTAGCAAATTTCCACCCCTACAAAATCATCATTTCTAATTAAGTAAAGCTTTGAAATTTTCATGTGAAATTGGACTGTTTTACCCACAAGAACCCATTCTGATAGGACATTAGTATGGCATCGTAAGGATTCTCTCTCCTAACTTTAAATTCAAAATGCTTAATTGGGTCAAACTATATCACCAGAGAAACAACTACAATAGTGTAAACAGTGCACAGAAAACTTTTTCAAAGCCAAAGAGTTCCTATAATCTGCCTACCTCCAAACGCAAAATCCTTGCCATGGAATCAACTCGAAGTCATAGGGTTTTTACAGGATGGAGTAGAACTGTTTTCAAAAAACCTCAAATTCAAATTCACTACCACCAAGTCGATTTAGATTCATAATGATCCCATCACTTTTCGAAAATTGTAATTTTATGAAAACAGGCTTCCACGGAGTAGCTGGTGTGTCCAAGCCACTGGCTATTAGGTGAACAGTAGAACATTAACCACTGTGCCACCAAAGCGTCTTTATTACCTCCACCTTTCATCCATTTCCCCAGGCAGGGGGACCGTTAACTTCTCTCTAAAACTTTGAAAGTCATCTCAGTGAAAGTGGGCCAGACTATCCTGAAATATAAACACAAGGAATATCGTTTTTAATTTCTAAGTCCTCCTGAAGGGAGGATATTATTCCTGTGTCTTCACGCCTCTGTTTCTTACACTTAAGCCTCATTCCATTTCTATGGAAAACTGGGTTATTAATCAAATACCGCAAATATCTTGGAAATGCACACACAGAAAATTCACCACAGGAGTACCCAAGAGTGGAAACTAAATGAGCATTAATGCTGCAGACAAGTTTTTAAAGTACTCTTATTGACATATCATTCACATCATACAATTCAATAGTTGAATCATATCAGGAAGAGTTGGACAATCATCACCACAATCAATTCTAGAACATTTTCTACTTTCTTATACTTAGTATAATTAGCTCCCCATTTCCCACAACTTCCTCTGTCATACCCCCAGGAAACCATTAACCCAGTTACCAGCTCTATAGATTTACCTATCCTGGATTTCATATTCAAATACACACACACACACACACACACACACACACACACACACACCCTAGTAACAATTACAAAGTAAAACAGAGAAAAACCTTAATTTAAAAAAGCAGAAAATATTAAACACTAGAACAAATTTTCAATAGTCAGAAGGGAGAGAAAATGATAAAGTATTAAATTTGCACCTAATTGCATCTGCAATCATCCGCTGTCCAAAGCACTCTGATAACAGCAGGACTGTTCACCTCTCTGGTCTGTGCTCAGAGGGAATTCCCAGAGGCTTGGTCCCCATGGATTTCCCTTCACCTTTTTTTTAACTGAAAAAACTTTAAAATGGGTCAAATGGGAAATCAAATGATAAGATATTACTTTTTAACCTAACTACATCTGCCATCATTGGTTTTACAGTGTGATCTATCTGATAACAAACCTATTCACATCCTTCAACTCTGGTCAGAGGGGATTGACCAGAGGCTTGATCCACAGTGGACCTTGAAAATGGATTTGGGGCTTCCACTGTCATCCATAGTCTTCTGCAAACCAAGTGTTCACAGTGTAAACCCTGATGCCATTCCCTTCGCTGGATTTGGATTTTATTATTTGCAGTCTAATCGCACAGGCTGGTGTGCTTCTTCCATGTGGACTTAGTTAATGCTTAGATGGCTGCTTGTTTGAAGAGAAGCATTTAAAACCCCAGATGTTATTTTTTCCTGATAGTTGGCACTATCTTCTCACACGTTGCTATAGCACCCATATCTTGTGATCTCTTCATGGGAGCAAGCAGCCTCAGAAGGGCTTTGTCATTCAGACTTGCGGGATTTGTTGGGAGGAAGAGAGGGAGGGAGATAGCTGGAGGACAGTAGCTGCATGTGATCTGTGCTTGCGCCCCTCTTCTCAGACAAAAGTGCGAAGTGTGAGGAAGCGTCCTGATTTTCCTTCGAGTGGACAATGGGATGTCGTGGTGGAGGCGAATGGAAAGCAGGAGACTTTGGTCTTTGATGGAGTCCTGGTATGCAGTGGCCATCACACTGACCCCCACGTCCCACTTCATTCCTTCGCAGGTGTGTCTCTTAGGATCTATTAAGTTGGATAGCACTTTCCAAATAAACAGAAAAAGTCATTAAACACAATATTTTTTAAACTGGAGTTAATGAAATGTTTCTGGTAACATAAAATAACAAACAACTCTCCAACATTTGTGTCACTTGTAATCACTAAGAAAAATCACCCCACATTTATTTATTTTTTATGGTAACAATTGTATTGGCATATAATTCACAAACTATACAATTCAATAGTTCAATCATATTAAATTGGACTATCATCACCACAATCAATTTTAGAACCTTTTCTTCTTTCTTGTGCTCATTGTTAATAGCTCCCCATTTCCTCAACCTCCTCTGCCCAACCCCCAGCAGTCTATAGATCTACTTATCCTCTATTTAACATACATTAAAAACCATTTTGTGTAACAAAAACATTTTAAAAAAACCTAACCACAATAATAAGATAGAACAGAGAAAAACCTCAGTTGAAAATTAAGACGTTCTCTATAATGTAAAGGAGCGTCCAGACAGCATCTGGAAGTAACATTCGTTCACCATGGATGTTCACTAATTAATAAACAAATGAGCAGCTCATTCCTCCCAGTGCGCTCCCTGTGGTCAAATAGCATCCATCTACACGTTTGCAAAGGTGAGTGTTGCTTTCAAAGCAAAGTAAACTCCTCCACTCACTAAACCCCCCTTCTTACTTTCCCCCATTCCTTCTCCTTTTCCATAAGCTGATTTCTAGAGTTAAGCAAGAAATATTTCATATCTCAGGGCTGCTCTATAATTCTTAAAAAGCCATCATAATAAACTCCTTTTGTAGGGCATTGAGATAACTTAAAAATAAGAGCCCTAGATGGAAACTAAAAGCTTAAATTTGGGTTTCATTTATCCAATTGACCACACACAAGCTTAGCTATGTAAGAAGTGGGCCTTACTGTTTCAAGGATCCACGTATAAATACCTCGTGGTAAAATAAAATGTCTTGCCTTGCTCTTCTGAATTTTAAAATGCAAGTATATTCTGGAGATAATGATATAAACATGATATAATCTCTAACCATTGCATCTTGATACACTTCATTTTGACTTGATTCCTTGCTGGGTGAAACTAAGAATATTTGGATAGGTTTTCAGGGAGTAAGACAGACACCGATCAAGAATGAGGCAATGTCTGTCTTAGTAGGCACAGCTAGGCACAGATTGAGGGCTGTGATAAAGCACTCAATAGAGCGAAGGACAACACGGCACCAGTCACTTGAGAAGCAAGGAGGTTGCAAGTAGACAAAGAAAGGCCCTGCAGCGTCAGGCTGCTGCGATTGTCAGCCGCCGTGGAGGCCGTTTTGATGAGTGGCAAGGCCATGTGTGCAGAGTAGAACTCCGTGGGTTTCCCAGGCTATGAACTTTCGGAACCAAATCCCCAGGCCTCACTTCTAGTTCTACATGAGTTTGAACAACTAACCTTCAGGTTAGTAAGCCAGCACTTAACTGTTTGTAGTACGGAGGACTCTATTACAAAATATAAGATTATTAGATTATATGTAGAATACACAGGTACTAATCCTCCTTTATTCTCTCCTTTCCTGAGCTCTGGGAACTGTAAAATAAAATTTAAGGCAAGGGGTGATGCTCAAGTTAGTGGCCCAGAAGCAACGTCTTGCTCTTTCGGATTACTCACAATCTTCTTCTCTGTGTTGAGTTAGTGATGTGAAAAGCCTCTTCAGAATAAGAAGCTCTATTCTTCCTCCACAGGCATTGAGAAGTTTGAAGGCAGCTATTTCCACAGTCGGGAGTATAAAAGTCCAGAAGACTATGTAGGGAAAAGAATCATAGTGGTTGGCATTGGGAATTCGGGAGTGGACATTGCAGTCGAACTCAGTCATGTGGCAGAACAGGTTTGTTTGTTTGTTTGTTTGTTTGTTTGTTTGTTTGTTTGAAAACCATCTCTGCATTAATGGAAGCCTGTGCTCTTGGGGATGCCACCCAGAGACAGGTTTGGTCTCTAAAGGATCAGAAAGAGAGTGAAAGCAGGGATCCCAGCCTTAATAAATTTAAGGTCAGGAAAAGAGACGATAAATTCAGAAAAATTACTTTGTGTTCACAATGGAAAAGCAGCGGGTGGTGCAAACCGGGCATGTGCTCCTCTGCTAACTGAAAGATGAAGTCCATCTTCTCGAGGTCTGGAGATTGACTTCCCCCAAATTCAGCCACTGACATCCCCATGGTGCGGGGACAACTTGGCCAATTAACATAATGTAGTGCATAAAGATAACGTTCTGAGATCCAGAAAGCTTGCACGCATCCATCTAGATACAATCATTGGTCTCCGCGCATCTGGAGCCAATGAGACTGAAGGAAACCCAAGACTCAAAGAAGAAACTAGTGCCCAGGACGAAGAGCCCCAACAAACCACAGCTTCACCTAGCCTACAGCCAGAAGAACTAGGTGGTGCCAGCTACCACTACATGCAGCTGATCAGGGACACAGCAGAATGCCTCAGATAAAATGGGAGAAAAAAGGGAAAAAATTCAAATTCCTGAAAAAATGCCAGACTTAAACTGGACTGACTGAGACTATCAGAGTTCCCCCAAACTATTGTCCTAAGATATCCTTTGAACTTGGAATGTCCAGAGGTCACCTGTCAACTAAATAATAGAGTAGCTTAAAAAATAAATAGTGTCAGCCATGAGGATGAGTCCTGTGCTCACTTAAGTAACCAACAATCTGGAACCAACCCGTAAACATTTACTATGACAAGAGAAAGAAGGAGAAGCTCAGGAGAGCCAGGGACGCTAGACTCGCAGAAACAAAACAAACATAACACCGGCACGTGGCGGAAACGGTGACCAATGTCACAAACAATTTGCATAAAACTTGTGAAATGGCCACCTAATTTGCTGTGTAGACTTTCACTTAACATGCACTAACCTATTATTAACATTAAATCTTTTTTAAGAGCCAGAAAAAAAAAAGCGAACCCGAGGAAAGACAGTTCTCTCTGGTTTTCCTTTCTCCAGTGACAACTACACGCACTGAGTGTAAAACGAAAATAAACCAGAGACAGTGTTAAATGCTCTGATTGTTACCGTTGCCACAGCAGCACTCGAGTCATGACAAAAACTTCAAAAGCAATCAAGGCAAAAGGAAGGGACTCCCCCCACGCTCAGTAGATTTCAGTGGTACAACTAATGAAGAGAAAAGGGAGAAGGAATGACGATCATAAATGTGTGCCCCTCTGTCAGGGGAAGCTTTCTAATATAGCTATAGTGAAGAAGGGGATAGAAGGAAATAATGAACCCCCTTTCCACTTCACACAAATGCAAGCAAAGCAAGCAGATCACTTATGATTGATTATTCAGTATTGTTTCTTCCACTAAAAAAATCATAGTATTTAAGTTTAGAAGCAAACGAGATACCGTTTCATTGCAGAAGTATTGACTACATTTAATAGTGTCAATTATAATTTTTTTTAAACTGTCTTCATTGATTTTATTTAGTGATATTTATTTTTTATAATTTATTCAGATTTTAAGAAAAGTTACTAATTACTAGAATTTACTTAAAATACTTAAAAAGTAACTTGCCAAAGAGTCCCTTAATTAAGAAAAAATTTTAATGTATGACCTTGGTCGCTCATACCCGTCGCCTCTGTCATCTCCATCACAGAGATGGCCAGTAAGAATTGAAATTCAGCATGATTCCCTCCATACTGCAAAAGCACCACTAATCAAACAAGCAATTAATATCTTTTTTATAATTTCATCAGAATACAGAAATATTTGGAAAGGGGTTCTGATAGCATTCAGTTAAAAGCAGTACACTCCCCTCCATTCATTGGAGTTTTTAATGTACATTTTTAATGTGATGCAAACTATGGAATAGAATTCTATGGAATAGAATTCTACAATGTAGAATTGTTCACATCTACATTATTTCATATAAAACAGAGCTATGTCCACATCCAGGAATACTTTTAAAGATAGCAATTCAGAGCATCCAGATTAATGAGTGAACCATTTTCAGCCCAAAATTTGATATTAATGACTTCTTTTTCAAGGAAGTTGGTTGTGAGCTCTGGACAAGTCCTGAATAGTGGCCATTGAATGGTACTTGCCATCCTGTTCCCCAGTAGCCCACACTCTGAAAACTGGGTAGTGTAAAACAGGAATAAAAACCCTCACATCCACGGGGTTCCGTCTCACCTTGACTGGTTTGCTCGTTCTCTCTCTTTTCCCCAGGTGTTCCTCAGTACTCGACGAGGAGCGTGGATTTCACACCGTGTTTGGGAAAATGGGTACCCGATGGATAGTTCCGTCTTCACGCGATTCAATAATTTTCTTCAGAAAATAGCAACAGCATCACTAACCAATAGCCACCTGGAGAAGATGCTGAACTCACGATTCAATCATGCTCACTACGGCCTGCAGCCCCAGCACAGGTGATCTTAGTTTAAGTAATTCTGTGAATATGTGAAAAAGGATTTTTCTTCAACTTCTGGCAATCCACATTAATGGTGGTCTGTTAATCCCATTCATTTTTAAATATAATTATTATATACAGTAGCTATCTATGGATATATCTATTAACATAATGCACTTATGCTAACACATAAGGAGGCTTCGAGGTTCAGTACTAACCTGGTGGCTCAGCTACCAACTGCAAGGTTGACAATTCGAACCCATCAGCCACTTCATAGAAAAAAGATGTGACTACCAGCCTCCTTGAAAAATGACCATGTTGGTAACCCTATGAGTGCAGTTCCACTCAGCTCTACAGACTTGCTCTGAGTTGTAATCAACTCAGAGGCAGTGGATTAAGTTTTTGGTTTGCATACGTGTACATAAAGGTAAATTTGTTTTTGACACCATTTGCTCAGTGCAAACACACCAGCCGCTCTATGAGGGGTCTGCTCCCATAAAGATTTAGAACCTCAGAAGCTTTCTGTAGGGTTCTGTGAGTCAGAACCGACTCAATGGCAATGGGGTATTTATTAAACAGTCATTCCACCGCTACATGCCAAGCATAACCATAAAGAATACATCATTCCTCCCTTCACGTGTAGAGGAGAGAACTAGATCTAAGCATGGAAGAGAGCAGGGAAGTGTAAATGGAGTTATGGAAGATGTCAATACAGGGCACAGTGAGTCTCAAAGTAGAAAATGGTTGTCATGGATTGAATTCTGCACCCCCCTCCCCCCCAAAATTATGTGTCAACTGATGAGTCTCACTGGTTTGGCAGGTATGTAATGATGCAAGGTGACAATTATGTAATGATGCAATCACTCATCATGATGCGATCTGATGTGATCGGATCTGATGTAAGGGCTTAGGGTGGGATGCAACACCCTTAATTTTATATCATTTCCAACTGGATGCAAGGGAAGCTTCCCTGTGGTGTGGCTACATCACATTTTATCTTATAAGAGATAAAAAAAGAGAGAAGTTAGCAGAGAAGGATCTTCTACCACCAAGAAAAAAGAACTGGAGCAGAGTATGTTCTTTGGACCCAGGGTCCCAGTGTTATGAACCTCCTAGACCCCGGAGAAGACAAGGTCAAAATTCACTGGACCCACAAATGCTGAAAGGAGACAAGGGCCTTTCTAGGAGCCAACCGAGAGAAAAAGCTTTCCCTTGTTGATCCTCTGGATTTAGACATCTACTCTCCTAAATTGTGAAAGATTAATAAATCATCTGAACCACTATGCTAGAAGTGACAGATTCAAAAAGAATGGTGTTGCAGTCATCATTAAAAAGGACATTTCTGTCTGATAACTAGGTTATTCACATCCCTCATTTATGGTCATAGGGCAATTGCTGGAGCTTACTCTGTGTGTAGAATGTGCAAGTGTATTTTGGGCTTCCACTGTCTTCCATAGCCTTCTGCAAACAAGAATCTCACAATTTAAGCTCTGGTATTGTTCACTCCTTCAGATTTGGATTATATCACTTACAATCCTTAGATCACAGATGTCGGTGTGCTTCTTCCATGTGGATTTAGTTGATGTCTCACTTAGATAGCTGTTGTTTGAAAACAAGCCTTAAGACCCAGACACTATTCTTTCTGATAACCAGGTACCATTTAATTTCTTCACCACACTTTGCTATAGCACCTATATCTTCAATGTTTCCTTCTGACCTTAAGTGAGGGATGGGAATAATGTGGCTATCAGACAGAAAGTATTGGAGAGATGTTTATAATAGATTGAAGTGATAAATCTAGCTGGGATGGTTAAAACCTTGTCATTCGATCTCCCTTTTGATACACTTTGAGTTTGATCTGGGTCTTAATATTTTCTGGGTTTTTTTTTTGTTTTTTCAAATTGTCATATTTTGTTATTGTTGGTAGTTTTCTTGACTCTCTGTTATGCATAGTTCTATGTTTTTTGGTATATGAAACCCAGGTTGGGTGAAAATATAGAGGCAATAACTAGAACAACGGTTCCTGGAGGGGAACCGTTCCTGCAGGGGACTAGGGGTAAGGTGATGTAAAGGAGTACAAGCAAGAAGAAAATGTTTTGAAAACAGTTGTGGTGGTGATTGTACAACACTGCTTGATATGATTGAACTGTTAAATAGTATTGTGTTAGTCCGCATTGACTAGAGAAACAAATTCATTGACACTCATATGTTTATAAAAAAAAGAGCTTTATATAAAGGAGCAATTGTATATTGAGAAAAAATCCCAACCCAGTCCAGATCAAGTCCATGAGTCCGATATTAACCCATATGTCTGATATTAGTCCATAAATTGCTCTTTAGACTCATGCAGTACTTGCAATGATGCAGAATACAGGAAGATCACAGGCCAGTGGGTAGAAGTGACCCCTTTCGGGGTCCAACGACCCTTTCACAGGGATTGCCTAAGACCATCGGAAAACAAATAACTATTTTGCAATATATAATTACATATTGTTTCGTGATTAATTACTATGCTTTAATTACCATATATACTCAAGTATAAGCCAACCCAAATATAAGCTTAGGCACCTAATTTTACCACAGAAACTGCATTAAAAATGTGCGGGAAAACTCAGCTCATACACGAGTATATATGGTATGTTTAATTATGCTCAATTTGTAACAATGAAAATCCATTCTGCATATCAGATATTTATATTACAATTCATAACAGTAGCAAAATTACAGTTAGGAAGTAGCAATGAAAATAATTTTATGGTTGGGGGTCACCACGACATGAGGAACTGTATTAAAGGGTGGCGGCATTAGGAAGGTTGAGAACCACTGAAATAGGCACTGCATTGGATAAATCTGCTGAATAAGACAGATTTCAAAGTTTTGAAAAACTTTAAAGTGGAGGGGCAAAAAAAAGGGAAAACCCTTGACACAGTTGCTGCAACAATGGCTCAAGCATAACATTTGAAGACAGGGCAGGGTTTTGTCCAGTGTCCAAGGGTCACGGTGGATGACATGACTGGGTGGCACCTACCAAACAACCAGGGCAACAGGTGTGAAGTAAAGCTTTGGGTACTGTGCAATTCTTTTTTCTCAACTGGTCATGTATAAACCTGCAGACCAGCTTCTGGGAATTCCAGAATTCTCAGGTCCTGAGAGGAACTTAGTGTAGAATTCTTTGGTGAAGGTCAACATCAGCCCTGCATGAAGAATGCCTGGAATCCCGAGCATTGATGAGGTTAATAAAAATAATAAATGAGTGGCCTGAGTCTTCCCTAAGATAGAAATTCTTGTCTCTAGGAATGTGGGGACAGAAATTTTCTCTCTAGGCCCCTCATCAAGTAATTGTTATTTGGGTGTGTTTATCTTGAGGCCATAGAAGTAGACCTTCACATTTTACCCACTATAGAACAGCTGCCTTAAGGGATACCCCAGTAGCCGGACATTGGCTTCATTGAGCTGTCCAAGAAAATTACCATTCCTTATACAACTCTTCTTGATGTGATTGAATGATTGAACTGTATGACGTGGTTGAAGTGCGAATAAAACTTCTTTAAAAAAAGAAAGAAAAAAATTACTATTCCACATAAATTGCACCCAACTTAATGTAAAGAAGACCAAAATTGTTACAACTGAACCAAAGGTAATATCATGATAAATAGGGAAAAAAGGTTGAAGTTTGTAAGGATTTTACTTGTTTGGATTTACAATCAATGCTCATGGAAATTTCAGTCAAGAAATCAAAAGATGTTTTGCTTTGGGTAAATCTGCTGCCCAAGACCTCTTCAGGGTTTTGAAAAGCAAGGATGGCACTTTGAGAACTAAGGTGTGCCTGACCCAAGCCACAGTATTTTCAATTGTCTCATATGCATGTGAAAGTTGGACATTGAGCCTATGTACATATATTTATAAGGCAATGCACTGAAGCTGCAGATGGGCCTTGGGTCTCAGCTCATACCTTCCTTCAATACAAGAACACTTTATTCTAACAAATTGGCATTCTGTGATGCTCACCACCCCCACACACCCCCTACACAATCGCTGAAGACAAAATGGATGTATAAGCAGATGTGATGAAGACAGAGGATGGTGCCTGGCTATTAAAAGATATAGTGTCTGGCTTCTTAAAGGCTTGAAGTTAAACAAGCGGCCATCCAACAGTGAAGCAACAAGCCCACATGGATGAAGCACATCAGCTGATAAGATAGTGAGGTGTCATCGAGACTGGGAAATGGGCATCAGAAGACTCACAACAAATGGTAACCTAACAAACAGAAATGCATTGGTGAGAATGGAGGAGGTTTGGAGTGGAGACTCAAAGCCCATCTATGGACAACGGAGCAGCCCCCCACAGAGGGGTCGCAGGGAAGGCTTGAGTCAATCAGGGTGCATTAGAGGACTAATGGGTCATGCAATATACCTCTGATCCCTTGAGGCCTCCTCACCCCCCACTATTCCCAATCTAGACTAGATGGGAGGATGTACATAGGTATAGGCAAGAGATAAAGCTCACAGCACATGGAACCCACGAAAGGAATGGGAATAAAGATACCAAAAGGGTAGGGGGAAGGGGAGGGAGAGGTGGGTATAGAGGGGGGCACTGATCACAATGAATGGCACATAACCACACACCCCCATCCAGAGGGAAGAACAACAGAAACCAGAGGAGAAGAGAAACAGCAGTCGTGTGAGATTTGAAAATAATTAACAATCTACAGTCCATCAAGGGGCCACGAGGGTTGGGGGTGGGAAGTCAGGAGGGGGAAAAAGAGGAGCTGATCCCAAGAGCTCAATAGAAAGTAAATGTCTAGAAAAGAATAATGGGATATATGTACGAATATGTCAGATACAACTGATGTGTGGATTGTAACAAGAGTTGTATGAGCCCCAATAAAATGATTATTGAGGGGAAAAAAAGAAAGTTGGACATTGAAAATAGAAGACAGAAGAAGAATTGATGCATTTCAATTTTGGTGCTGGAGAAGAATATTGAAAGTACCATAGACTGCTAAAAGTGCAAACAGATCTGACTTGGAAGAAATATTGCCAGAGTGCTCCTTAGAAGCAAGATTGGCAGGACTTAGTCTTGTATACTTGGGACATGTGGTCAGGAGAGACTAGTAGGTAGGATAGAGGAACAAGGACGGAAAGGAAGGCCTTCAAGTAAATGGAGTGACACCATGGCTGTGACAATGGACTCAGCATAGGAATGATTGTGAGGACAGCCCAGAAATGTTCGTTCTGTTGTGCATGATGTCGCTATGCATCAGAACTGACCCAATGGCACTTAACAACAACACCAACCACATAAATGAAGTCCGCATCCAGAGAGTAAGTAAGATTAGCTTGGAGATCAGAATGCATGGCAAAGAAAGTAGAAGAAGGATAAAATTGTAGTTTTATAAAGAGTTCCTACAGATTCAAGTGTGGAACAAAATAGTCTTTGAATTTTAAAAATTACTATCTCTGCACTAAAGACAAGAGTAGACTCAGGGAGGAAATGGTTACTATTGAGAACTGAGTTCATGATCTGGGAGATCAAGTGCAAAATAAAAAAATTTTCAATGAAAAGCTTTCTTATTTTCTTATTTACTTACTTGGGCTTTTAATGTTTATGTTCAGAGCTTTAAGTCAGCAACCAACTATCAGCGATGATCTGCCCAATCACATAATTTCTGGAAAGGTCCAAGTGAAGCCCAACGTGAAGGAGTTCACAGAGACTGACGCCGTTTTTGATGATGGCACCAGAGAAGAAAAGATCGATGTTGTCATCTTTGCGACAGGATACACTTTTTCGTTTCCATTCCTTGATGGGCTGATCGAAGTTACTAATAATGAGGTATCTCTGTATAAACTTATGTTCCCGCCAGACCTGGAGAAGCCGACACTGGCCGTCATCGGTCTGATCCAGCCACTGGGCATCGTCCTACCCATCGCGGAACTCCAGGCTCGCTGGGCTACCCGAGTCTTCAAAGGTATATGAGAAAATGTTTGAGAAAAGCCAATATGCTGACTACATTAAATTCTCGGTTTCTAATTGACACTTCTTTCCTTTCAACAAAATATGCCCCTGGAAGTCCTTGACATCGAGCCAGACTCTAGACCTTTCTCTTGTAGGGCTGAGCAAACTACCCGCAGTGAAGAACATGTTGGCAGAGATTGACCAGAGGAAAAGGACTATGGAAAAACAGTAGGTAAACCATTATCGGAACTAGTGGGGGAGCATCAGAGGAATCATGGAATGCCTAATCTAGCGTCCTGCTTCATCTCATTCAATTATGTGAGGGTTTTTCCTCCTTCTGTACAAGGAGCTACAGACATCTCCTAACGGAGACCAGATGGTGCAGTGGTTAAAGCACTTGACAACTAAACCCAAAGTCAGCAGTTGGCCCCACCAGCCATTCTGTGTGAGAGAGGTGTAGCAGTCCATATCTGGAGAGCAGTACAACCTTGGAAAACCCTATGGGGTTTCTAGACTGTTCTATGGGGCCACTGTTAGAATCGACTGAACAGCAAAAATATATAGATATTTCCTACATTGTGGTATTATGAAACACACAAAAAGTATGAATTTCAGTCCCCTAAATCAGTTATGCAGGGAATAACCATTTTTTAATTTTCTTTATGGAACATTCTATCTGAATTTAATCCCTTGACTTACTATTAACATAGGGAACTCAATCTCAGCTCTTATTGAGGTTTCTTCTTATATTCTCCCAAGAACCCAGGAAACCAATATGATTACCCCAAATGTAGAAATAGTCTAATTTCCACCCAATTTTTTTTTTTAACTTACAAGCTCATTATTTAATTCTCAGTGCTTTACTCTTTAATTCTAGAGCCTTTAGATTCCCTGCCTAGCATAGGGTAAGGAATTGCTGAGAATGGGGCTCCAGCCAAGTTGAGCTTCCCAGGGACACCACACAGTCTTTCCCTCTCAAGTCTTGGGAGGGCTTCCGAAACTCTTTCACACCAGGTTTCTAGATCATGCAGTCTGTGAAGTCACTCTCTCTTGCCTCTTTTTGCCTTAAAAGACATTTATCACAGTGGTTTCTCCCATGAGCTCAGAATTTAGTGAAACAAAAGCTAGGAAGGGAACTAAGGCATTTGTTTGATTCCCTGAGCAAGGGTGGGACATTTTTTTTTTCAAATTGAATTTTTTTTAATTTAATCATTTTATTGGGGCTCATACAATTCATCACAATACATAGATCAATTGTGTAAAGCACACCTATACATTTGTTGCCCTCATCATTCCCAAAATTCGCTTTCCTCTTGGGTTCCTGGAATCAGCTCACTTTTCTTTTTTCCCCTCCCCTTCCTTCCCCACTCCCCCCTCCCCGATGAACCCTTAATAATTTAAAATTATTATTATATCTTATCTTACACTGCCCGGCGTCTCCCTTCACC